TTACCTGCTGTGAGAGACATTGAGTCAGAGAGTAACAGCGCACAGAACAAGGCACATGCCCTCTACCCATGCATGACATGTGCCTGATGTGATTAGAAAAGCTGGGACACGACCTCACTCTCTCTAATACATCTATCAAAAGCTTACAATTATGTTTCACCTGGAAACTATACAGGGCTCGCATGCTCATTTTTAAATAACAAGGAGCTATTCAGCAGAAGAAGAGTAGAAGTGAATGATGCATTCACCTTTTAATATGCTTATTTCACAGCAGCTGAACCAAAAAGCGCCTCCTGAAATGTTTGCATGGCAGAACATTTTAGCGGGGAGAATGCCACCTATACATCCTCCACTCACATGTGAGTCATCTCTAGTTGAGAACAGAGTCTTTCTAAGTGTTGCTCTCATCTTAGAAAAGAATATCCACTGTTTACCAGGCACTCTACAGATGATATATAGAGCTTTTGAGTAGGATGATTGTTTCATCTACCTGTTACCTTTCCCTGAATTCAGCAGATTTCTCTAGCTGAATGTCTATGAGCAATAAACTGTGGCCCCTCTCTCTCGCATCTGCTTGGACTGCTGCAATTAATGAGCTAAGACAAGCATTGCCTCGAGCACAGTTCATTATCTTTGTTCCTGGCTTCATTCGAATTGTATTTAAAGTAGCTGGCAAAGGGTATTGTTGAGAGAGTGAAAAACGATTGCTCAACAGAGTCTCTTCCACACCCCATATTCTACAAGCTTCTTTCTCTACAGAAACTTCTCTCTTCACACAGGCCTGCAAAGAAACAGATTTTCTTACACACTACAGCACAGCTTTACTAGGTATCAGCCACTGTAGTGATGTCCACCCCCAAATGAGGGGAACAACAGTGACTATTTTTTTTCTGTAACACATAACATCTCACTTTTCCTTGAAGCAACACAAAGCAAACAAAATGATAAATCTAAATATCAGAAAATATTTTTTCCTTCTTATATGATTATAAACTAAGTCAACTGTATCTCTTTATTCAACTCCAACGAAATGCCAGACAACACAGGAATCATGCTGTCTTTTTGCACACAATTGTCTCCTGCAAGAATCAAAGGAAGGCCTATGATGTCCAACAGGTCCAGGAAGATTTAATAGCCATCTCTTTTAAGTGGATTTTTTTTTTCTAAGAGTCCAACTTTTGCTATCTTCTTCAAGTTAAAAAGCTTAACCAGGTAAATACTTCCGTGAAAACAAGAACCTTCTATGTTTACCCCAATTCCTACCTTAGGCTTCTAAACAAATAACTTTTTCTGTTGAAAGTCTCCACAGCTATCATCAATTTTGGTAATCCAAGCTTAAGAATTCTGGTCTGTTTGAATGAAATTAAATCAGTGAAAAGTCCTGCATATTTATTGTGTAGTGGGCAACTTACTATAATTCATCATAAATCCCCAAAGCATGGTAGTGAAGTCTGAGTGTTTTATGGCTTGTGCTGGAAAACAGTAATCCTTAGACTGTCTAAACAACAGAGTTCTGTAAAAGGCAGGCTTGAATTCTCTGCAGGAAGAGCTGATCCTTATTGGATATCAATCCAAAAGACTCAGAGCTATGTGTTCTCTCTAAAACTGTGTAGGAACGCCTTGGTGGTGGAGAGAGGAATGCAGCTAATAAAGCAAGAGAAAAACCCACTGCCAGAAGGGCGCTTTGGTGCTCTGCCCTGTCCCTTTCCTGTTGCCTCCTGGTGTTGGTGACACCCGAGGAGGGACTACAGGGTATTTCTTGCACACTCACACAAGCCTCCTAGGTGACAGCTTTAAGGCAACTATTATGAGAAGTCATACAGTCATGCAGTCATACGCCTCTACATTTCTTTACAGGAGGAGAAGGAAGGACCTGACACAGACCAGCAGTCATCCCAATACTATTTCCCACATGAATAATCATCTCAGAAAAAACTGCTAAACAGTATCAGTTGTGGTTCAGACAGACCAGTTGGGATGAGTCAGGCTGTAGAAGCACCTTAAGCTTCAGAGAAGCTGGAAATCTGCCAATGTTTACAGGTAAAATCCTCAGAAACACACAAGAAGTAAAGCTACTGGCTTGTTTGTAAAAGACTGTCCATATTTAAGGTTAGACAGACCAGCACTGCTGCAGCATAGACTACAATGTCACCCCATGTACGAAACAGTTCCTCTTCCCCAGCGAATCTTCAGCAGGTGCTCCCAAACATGGATTCCCCTTCAACAAAATCTCTACTTCTTAAAATCTCTACTTCTTAAAAATGACTGCTTATTTTCTGTGATTTTAATCATACTGACCCTTTTCTGACAGGAAAACTTCATTATTATATTAAATGTATTTACAAATAAGATGATGTGCACATTTTTGTTCCATAGTTTATGCATTTAAGAAATGTTAGTGATAAAAGAATTTCTTCTGACATTTTTTCCTAGCCACTGTTTTCACTCTAATGTAGTGAAGCCTTAAAATTGATTTTTCTCCTTTAGTCAGGAAAAATCTCTGTCAGACAGTAACTTGCCTAATGTTGTTTACAACACATTTCTTTAAGGTCAAAATTAACATACATAATAATATTTTTAAGGAGTGATGCATCAAGCATGAAAGAGGTCAAGAAGGAGTCCACTAATAAGGTTGTTTTATATATCTCCAGATATTTAAAAGAATCCAAATTTCAACTGACTCAATCTCATTCATGAATTTTTGGACTAGTTTATATACTTTGGAGAATTCCCTCACTGAGTGAATCAGTGGAGAAACTTATATTCTTTGAATTGTCCCTGTGGGACTGTGTGGGTTTCTTTGTTTGCTGTTTAGGTAACGTAGGGAAAACAGCCTCTGAACTTGGGTACACTCATTTGGTGGACTCATTATATTAGTTTGGAGCTCAACAATAGCTGGTATGAATACTCCTGCCTCCAAAAGTCTGTCTATTTACTCACAGAAGTTTGCTAAAATTTTCATAGAGCTTGCTTAGAGCTGTGTTGGTTCAATGCGATTTGCTGAAGAACTTGTTTATTCTTCAGTTTGGGTTTTTTTTTTTCCTTGTGTAGTTTTTTTTCCATTTCCTTTGACAATCCTCCTATGACCACACACTTGCAGCACTACATAACAAAGAATCCTGTTTTATACAACTATATATTTATGAGTAGAAGTAGGTTAGCCTGTTTACAGCACGTTTGCCTGCCTGGGTGTTGTTTTACCTTACTTTACCTTACTTAGAGATCCTTTAAACTTTTCTGTGCATGTCACTTGAATTTGCAGACAGAATTGCTGTTTCCTGCAGCAAACAAGCCACATCACTGTATGGCTGTTGTTCTTGAGGTTGTACAGATCAACTAAACAAACCTTTGATCTGTCATATCATAGCTCATTTGGATAGTGACACTTGGCTAACATTTTCTTATTTAATGTGGAAGTGCCATAGCATATGAGAGAGCTAAACATTTTTTTTTCCCCCCGGAAGAAGGAATTTTATCTGACTTTCTGACTTTTCTACATAACAGCATTTAGAGAATACCTGTTCCTTAAAAGAGTGTTTGATGAGACAGCACCTTACGTGCGGAACAGGATTTGGAAAGGGCCTGGATTGCAAGCAGACACATGGCTAGACAGCAAACTCATGAACTTTGACTGGAAAGCATATTTCTTCATGGTACTCCAAGATCTGAAAACAAAACTCATCTAGCCATGGCAACACAGCTATCTTTGTTACCTTTTATCCCCACAAAGGGGATCCGTTAATAAGTTAGGAGTTGCACATGAAAAAGGATCAGGGAATACGTTGGCCATGTTAGGACCATGTTACTTACAAAACCAGAAGACACCAATTAAATACCATCTGAAAGGACCAGCACAGGGAGAAGACCTTCTCAGTTATAAGAGCATACAGTAAGTGCTTAACATAGATGGCACGATAAAGACCCAGCAATAATTCTGTGTAAAACTTGTTCTCTGGTTTTAAACCTAGCACCAAGCTGCAAGGAGCCTGGAAGGAGGAAGAAAGGATACAGGAAGGAAGATTTTGGAGAAGGTACTGGAAAGACAGAGCAGAGCGTGCCTATGTCACTGGAACACTTCTTTTTGTTCATTGTATTCTCCCAATAAAGAGAAAGCTTGAAGCAGTCTCTTTCTCTGGAGGGAAAGCTGACAATCAAAGCTATACCTCCTAGCAATCAACACTTCTGAAACCTTGCAACCTCTGTTTTAAGGAGGTAATATGGCTCTGGCTCAAATAGAACTGCATACTGTCACAATTATTTCTTCTTCCTAACTTGATTCTACAGAGCAATAGGCATTTCGTACGTGCAGCACTGCATTACCTCAGTGCAAGTGTGGTTTGCCTTAGAGAACTCAAAATCTAAGTTCCCTACATTTTAAGAAGCATCCACATTTCTCATAAATTTGACATTAGCCAGAAGTGCAGATAAATTAAGCAACCAAAATTTGCTTCAATGCCTTTCAAATCTATTTCCAAGCTTCTCCTCAGCTCTTTTTAATGCTTTCCTGCCTAATTTCTGCAGGGGCAGCTGACACGCAAAATTACAAAAATCGAGAGTCCCTTAAGGTACATGATTCCAGTGCACATCAACATGGTATTTTCTTACAACAGGCTAGCATACCAAAGCCATGCATGTATATTCTCACCGACACAGGAAAGAAACCTTAGGGCATACCCTTAAGTTAGACAGAGTCATATCACTTGCGGTGTATGCTGCTAAGGTCAAAGAAAAGGTATGCTGGTTGCCTCCAAATTTCTCATGGACTGGTCAGCATTACAGTAAAATGGTATTATGTTTAATTTAATCCAATTAATCCCCAAATTAAAAATGTTGTGCCAATGATAGCACAACAAGGGACAGACATCAGACGAGGAGAACCTTTTAGTTTAACTCATTAGCAGCCAGATCTCTTTTTTCTTTTTTTTCTCCTGCTAATAGAGGAAAAAAAAGTCTCTGTAAAACAACTTCATTGTTATTTTTAAAACATTTTTCATGTTTACCTTTCTCGCGTCTCGTATCATCTTCCGTATAGTCTCCTTTATTGTGTAAGGCTGTGCTCGGGGTGGATGAAAAAGCAGATCAATGTTTGTGCCACCAGAAATCCCAGGCATCAGATAAGGCCATCCTAAGTCAAGATTTGGAGCTTCCACATCTGATTCAATAGGCCAGTAGGTTCCCGAGGAAGAAGTGTCATCGATGGCATGATTAGAGGAATAAACTGTGTTTTGGGGAAGTTTATGGACATTGTTCAAAATATAATCAATTTCCTCATCTGCTAGGAACTCTGAGCATCTCTCTTTGGAAAGAAATTCTTTGTATGCTTCTATACCTCCTTCAATTAAAGCGTCAATAGCTATTCGATACCATTCTTTGTAATGAGGTTCAATGTAGCTGTCTGATCTGCATTCATCATGTAAGGATGAAAGCAAAGATGAGGTTTCCATTTTCACATATATTTTGTATAAAGTCTTTTAAACTTCCACTCATGAGATGATGAAATGTATCTGTAAGGAGAGAACAGAAAGAAAGTGATCAGAATATTTGTGGCAATCTGTGAAATACAAATGTTATTCCAAATAGTTTTTCAAGTTATATTGTAACAAGTAACAAAACTTTAGGTTTTGTTAGCACCATCCAACTTAGTCAAAATGTTTTGAAAAAGCTCAGGGATTGCTTTTCCCAAATGAATATTAAGAAGTTGCTTAAAGAGCCTCCTCTGCACAAGGTAAAACCAAACACCTCAGAGACGAAGTGATTTAGCAAAATTCCTATATTAAAAGTTGACAATATAGTGAACACCTCTACCAGTAACTCCAATACATACTCTATGAATATTTCAGTATACCACTGTAGACTGTATTTCAAAGAAAAATATTAAGAGAAACATTTCACAAACCAAGTTTATTTCCTGTTTTGTTT